CCTTTTTAGATATTTCTTCCTAATCACCACCCATGAAATTTAATGCCACAGATACAATACACTAGATGCACAGATATACAGTGTATCTGTACTTTATACATAAAAAAGGGGTTTTTATTGCCCCAAGAATAATTTTCACCTTTACGGGAGCAATATTGCTTCATTGAGAATGCATGATTTATACTAATATAACTGCTAAGAGGATCAGATTACTTAGGTCAGATCTTCAACCCATTCTCTCTCATGTAGTACAGTCTACATGAGATGTCACATGGGTGGGGTGTGCTGAGCATGAAATTAGAGCAAACGGGGTTAAATGACCTTAGGGGATATCTATTGAGCTAAGATGGTCCAATACACTTTTCCCCACTGTAAGATTATAGCAACCCAGTAATTGTATAGTCAAGGGAGCCTCTTATTTTCTCGGGCTTCTGTGCAAACTATTACTTTTGTCACTTAATTTTTGTCACAACCTTAATTACAAAGTATTTCAGGCATACAAAAAGTAGAGATAATATAAGGAGCACTTTTATACCCATAACCTAGTTTAAGAGAGAAAACATTATAGATTCGTTGGTAGCCTCCTATATACTGCACTCCAATCCCATTTCTGTCGCTTTCCCTGGAAATAACCACTATCCCGAATTTGGTGCTCATTATTCCTATGCATGGTTTTACATTTTTATCTACAAACCTGCTTTTTAAACTTTGTCAACATGGTATCAGAATGTAAATATCCTTTGATATGTTTATTGCTGTAAGGCATTCCACTGAATGAATACACAACTTTCGCTTCTGTTACCACATTCACTCTTCTCTGCTTCCTCTGGCCTCTGCCCTCATGCTCTAATTTTCAGTTCCATACAGATTCTCAGCATATCTTCTGATCTTTTAAAGAGACTTGGAAATATCCTGGCACTTTCAGCAACACATTTCAGCTTAGGACACTTCTGCAGATAATTTCATTATTTACTAATTCTTACTAGATTTCTTCTGAGGATAACCCTTTCTTGACCATATCCCCAAATTCTTGACACACTAAACCGTAGTTTCCTGCTTTACTGTAACATCATCCTGCTAGGTGTATAATTCTGTGACCTAGGAGTTTATAATGGCAATAGTCTACATTTTAAAGACCCAAGTCAATATTCTTCTTTCATCGGCCCTCAAAGATAAGCTACTTCAGTGGAAGCTTCCTGCACTGTTATGGACTGAATGTGTCTCCCCCTCCAAATTCCCATGTTGAAGCCCTAACCCCAATGAAATCATATTTGACGATATGGCCTTTAAGGAAATAATTAAGGTTAAATGAAGTCATAAGAATAGGACCCTGATCTGATAGGATTAGTATCCTTATAAGAAGACATCAAAGAGCTTGCTGGCTCTCTCTCTACCATATGAGGACACAGCGAGAAGGTGGCCATCTGCAAGCCAGGAAGAAAGCCCTTACCAGAACCTGACCATGCCAGACCTTGATCTCGGACTTCAGCCTCTACGACTATGAGAAAATAAATTTCTGTTGTTTTAGCTACCTAGTCTATGGTATTTTGTTATGGTAGCCTGAGCAGACAAATACACACACTAATTCCAAGAACTGATCATACAGTATACTGAGAAAGAGAACCAAGGGGTCAACAGCAGTGGGAAGACTGGGTTCTACTCTGAGCTCAGCCACTCTGACTCAAGAGTATGACAACCCTTTAAAGCTTCCTTTTTCTATTCTATGAAATAAAAGGCTTTAAGCAGAACTTCAGGTCCCTTAAAACTTCCAAATTAAAAGCGTTAAATCACATATTGTGGACTGTGGCTCATGCAATTACCATGTCAGCATTCTATCCTCAAGAAGTAATTACGGATACTCACAAAGATTTAGTTAAAAACATGTCCATGACAGAATTGCATTTAATAGCAAAAAAAACAAAGGACCTGTAAATAATCTAACTATCCAGGGGCCGGCCCCCCAGCGTAGCGGTTAAGTGCACGCGCTCCACTGCTGGCAGCCCGGCTTCGGATCTGGGGCGCGCACCAACACACCGCTTGTCAAGCCATGCTGTGGCGGCGTCCCATAAAAAGTAGAGGAAGATGGGCACGGATGTTAACCCAAGGCCAATCTTCCTCAGCAAAAAGAGGAGGATTGGCAACAGATGTTAGCTGAGAGCTGATCTTCCTCACAAAAATAAATAATAATAATCTAACTATCCAACAATAAAGTATGTTAAATAAATTACAGTCAAGCCACAAAATAAGTGAATATTTATTGTGCACACCTGTAAAAAACTGCTTTTGTTAATTAACATCAAGGATATAGTGTTGAGAAACCTTGTTTTTTAAAATCATAGATTGGCAAAAACTTTGTTAGAAATCCCATCAGTGAGAATGGAACATCCCACTCTTGTAAGGATCTAAGCCATGTGGGTCACTTTGAATTGCTTCATTGAGGTATATTTGACATAAATTAAACTATAATAACTAAAGTAAACAATTTGATAAGTTTTGACATACATATATACCCATAAAACCATCACAACAATGAAGATAATGAACATATCCATCACTCCCCAAAGTTTCCCGGTACCCCCTTGTAATCCCTCCCTCCCATCTCCCTTGCTCGCACCCCTTTTCCCAAGTAACCACTGATTTGCTTGCTGTCACTATAGATTAGTTTGCATTTTCTAGTTTTATACAAATGGAATCATACGGCACATACTCCTTTTTGCCCGGCTTCTTTCACTCAGCATAATTATGTTGAGATACATCTACGTTGTTGGACGTATTCATAGCTCATTCCTTTTTATTTCTGAATAGTATTCCATTGTACAGGTCAAGGCTGATAACTCTTTTAGACACAGCCTGCTTTGCTTTGAGTCTTTAAAATTTTACCTAAACTTCATTCTGCTGCAAGTTAATAAACCTAACTTTGTAGAACTACAGGTGTGTTCCTGGTTCACTTTATCAGACGGGCTTTATCAACTGACATGAATGTTCATGACCACATTAAGTTCAAAACAGTAAACAGTGCATGACACCATTTTTGTTTTTAAAATTAAATACTTGGAAAGATGACTAGAAAGTTATATATGAAAAATGATTTTATCTGTATTACCAATTACATTAAACATACATTTTTTTAAGGTTACAGGTCATAGAAAAAAAGGTGATATGATTTTACATAATCAATACTTGCTAGGCTGCCAAAGGAACAGGCAACCCCCACTACTGTTTTTGTATAATAGTTTAATTCATAAATCCACAGGTGTTAACCTAGAATGGGCAGTGGAACTTATTAGGAAAGTCATCACCCTTCACGTCTCTAGAACCAAAACATAAATGTAGGATTATAAACCTAATTTCAGAAATATAAATAGATAATTCGGTACATGTGTGTGGTGATGGGTTGTAATTAGTATTTTGGTGGTGAACATGATGTAATCTATGCAGAAATAGAAGTACAATGATGTACACCT